ATAGGAAAAATAGGTTGCAATCCCCATGCATATTGCGCGACTCTTTATCCATCAGACCCAATACTTTTTTTCAGCTAACCTTGGTTGAAGGCCAGTCTAATATCCACCACTTGTATCTGCATCGCGTAGGCCACAAGCAAAATATTATATAGCTCCGACCTCCTATGATTATCGCAGCCGCAATGCCTAGAGCTGTATTTTAGCAGACAGGAAGTAGGTGTCTAACAGCATCGCAGCAAAGCGTACTTCCTACTGCCCGTCACTGCACGGTTTCAGTTCTGTGTACTGTATATCCGTCCGGTCTGTGCTTCTCTATTGTTGTGAACGCTGGGCTGGGTGCACGGACGATATGCGAAAACCGCGGTTATTTGACCACCGCTGCCTGAGTACCATCCTTCCAGTGAAGTACACCGACTTCGTCTCAAATGCGACAGTCCGAACTCGCTGCGATAAAATCTCAAAGCTATTCCAGTCCATACAAGAAAGAGGAGTCAGTTAGTTTGGGCACTTTCTTTGTCATCGCCTTCGCAATTCGTTTGGCTGTCCTCCATCCGGCGCCGTTACCCACTTTGAGGCCTAGGAGAGGGAGTCAACTCAAAACTTGAATCGACAGACTTTGTGGCTCTTAGATCTTCCGTTGTTGACGAAGTGAACGGGTTTAATTGTCTAGATTTGCTGCCGAAGATAGCCACGTACAAAGTGGTACACTCCGTGATATCATCCAGGCGTGATCGCAATCGTCACAAGTCTAAATTCGTAAAGTTTACTTCTTCCCAATTACTTCCTGGGACTCGCATTTCCGCTTGTATTTGTCAGACTGTAATCATTCGTCCTTAAAGTGGCTTACGACACTAACTTATCTGAGGTCAGAGCTCTCTTAATTAAAGCCGGGTAAATGCAGATTTAGATACGAGCTCATTTGTAAAACTCGCAAGTCGCTGTTTGTCCTTCTCAACCACTGCTCCTCGCTTGTCTCCAATCATCTTGAGCCTGTCTTTCCCTCGGGACCCAGTGAGCACGGAGATAGGGATATAAGTAAGTGCAGCGCGGGCCCAATTCATTAGGACCAAATTTTCGCGCAAGTCACCACTTCGTTACCTCGGGCTGGCGGTAGAATTGCCTCCTGTGGCGGTTAAAACACTCTGATCCATTTAATTAACCAGCACTCAATTAAATCTTGCAAGTTTGGCGTGGGTGGCGGTGGTGGCGGTGGTGGTGGTTGTAGGACGTTGATTTCTTCAGATGTTCGCTCACGCTCACAGACACAGCGTATTGAATAAACCATTTGTAAACAGCTTCCGCCACAATTGCCTCTAGTCTGTTCGAATTTTTGATGCTTACCAGGTCCGTACTTGGTTTCATCTCCTCCGGATTCTCTTGGTTTTCTTGCCTTGTTTTGCCTCACAGCTAAGTCATTCCTATCCTTCTGTCTGTTCAAGGTGAAACAACTGACGGCACGCTGTCTGCGCCTGCAGTCCTTCAGGCGCTCACTGACCTACCAAAAAAGTTACCTTATCCTACTGTTAGGCAGTTTTCAGTACTCCCAACAGGCAGTCACGGCGAGTCTGGGGCGAGGACTGCTCATGGGTGCTTCGCCCTCCTTCTCCGATCCACATTACGGAGCCGCCACCAATGGCCACTGGCCACTAAGGACCCCACCTGCTGTAGTGCGCTTTCGGGCCGCTGCAACCGTTGTCCGTGTCATTTATCGGTGCGTCCTCTTGCAGGTTTCTTCTTCCGCGACTCTTGTGTATAGTTGCTGTGATCCTTTGATGAAAATACGTTGGTTTTTCTGTATTGATAGTCAAATAACCTGTTGTTTGCTCTGTTTGGCTTTCGCTTTTATGACCTAAATAATGTTTTCTTTTATATAACGAAGATTATTTTGCCGACAAGTATAGGAAAGGCTATTGTCGGATTATTTGCAGTCACCGTCGGGTCATAAATGAAGTTAAATTTCAGAGGACCTGGCACCTAAACACCCGTGATCCGGCTAGATCGGGGCTGGACACCCTCGCGTACTCTTCTTAAATATGTCAAGGTAAAAAAAAATGAATTTGAGTCCATTTTCCAATTACTCATGGACCCACACTCAGCTCACACAGGAGTGACGCTCACCCATTTAACGCGTTCGGCTTGGAATCTCCGCTGTAGCGACCTCGCATTTTTTAAATGATGATAAAAAAAACTCCAAATATGGTAATTTACTTGGGAAAAAACATAAATATGTACCAAGCTTGCCGTTTTTAGTTTAGTTGAGCTCGCCAGACATTCATAATCCTCAGATTTGCGAAAGCGAGGATTCCGGTTCCAGTAAGCCCTTGAGTCTGACGCTCTATTTGCGTCCGCCTATAGCTCGCTTGAAGGGCTCTGATGTAGGTTTACGGTTAAGGACTACGGGTCCCCCTTCTAAGTCTTACGCACCTGTGTTTGTGTCTATCATCTCAAATAAGCGTGAAGCAACTTTTCTAGTCCTCTTATTTCTTGGTAGATTATTATAAATGCTTAGTTTTCTCTTTACAATCCGGCAGCCAACGAAGCTTGCGAATTGGCGCCTAAAGTTAAAACGAGAAGTCGCTGTTGTTGATTGGTTTGGGCAATTTTATAAATAGTACTTTCATATGACTTTTCGCCTCCTCGTGCGAGGTTATGGGACACCCGGACTCTTCGGAGTCCTACGTTTCAACAAATATTGCGTTCTTTTTGGGCGGTCTTATGTAGAAAACGTCATTTCCCAGGCAGATATTGTTGTACTTTCGTGTATGCACTATGCAAATTATCTCAACAAGGCAAGCGTATTCCTGCATTTGCACGCAGAAAAAGTAGTTTCGTTCTGTAAAACGTCGGGTAAGGTTATTTTTTGCTTATTTGCTTCTTCTATGTCTCCTACCTAGACGGTCTCTAATTATTCTTTCTGGTATGCGTGCAAACCGTCAAACTCCGGCTGATCCTCTAATCAGGGTCATCTATAAACACAGTTTTTTTCGTTCTCGTTTCATCGTTTCAAAATATCTATTTGCGATTGTGTTTGTATGTGTAATCACTTACCCGACTGACGCATTTACCGGACGCGCCATCAGCCCAGTGTGTGTTGTGTGTGAAGTGGCTCATGAGTGGACTGGGCGTCAGGGAGCACCGCTCCTTCTAATCCCCTGGATATGTGAATTCTGATGCGTGTTTCAAGAGGGCCAGGTCGTGCTGTAGCGTGCGCAGACGGGTTAGCCGGCCCTGTCAACTACTGTGCCCATCCCACTTCATGCGACCGATCAGCTAGTCGGTGGCTCGATGCCGGTGGTGGGGGAAAGAGTGAAGTCGATCCTCAGTGTATTTCTTTCCTCACTATAAACAATCCGACGTGT